CCATAACCACTTTCAAACACATCATTAACACTGTCCTGAATTGCTCTTATTTTATTGTTTCAATAATTTTATCTACAAATCAAAGGTACTGCTATGGGTTGCCCATTATCCCCTGGCATCATAGACCTAGTTTTACAAACCCTTGAAATTTCCGTTTTCTCCACATTAAATTTCCAAATATATTTTTACGTTAGATATGTAGATGACACTTTTTTTATAATAGACAAAGAACAATCAGATATAATAATCGATACCTTTAACAATTACAATAAGAGCATTCAGTTCACACATGAAACACAAATCGACAACAAATTAAACTTTTTAGACGTGACTGTACACAAAATTGACAACATTATTTGCACAAATTGGTACAGAAAAACTACATGGTCCGGGAGATACCTTCATTACGCGTCATATTGTCCCAAAAATATAAAGTCAATACAATCATTTCTTTGATAGACCACGCAATCATGTTGTCTCACTCTTCTTTTCATACCCAAAACACAACATTAGTAACTAAAACTTTATTAGAAAACGGATATCCCCTCACCCTCATCAATTCCATTACCAATAAAAGACTTTCCTATCATAAAAGTAACAATTATCAATCCATCTCCAAGTTATTCCAAGACAACAATATTAAACCAACTTTTCACAGCATGCCTTACATTGAAGGCTTATTTGATTATTTTGCCAAATTACTCAAAGAAGAAAATATTTTCATTTCAGGAACAGCTCTATATTCTTTTAAAGAAATGTTTTCAAAAATTAAATCCACCACCCCTCCTAAATTCAATACTAACATAGTTTATTCCATCCCTTGCAAAAATTGTCAAAAACAATACATTGGCCAAACATCACAGTACATTCATAAGAGAATGAGACAACATGAATTAAGCGTCACTCATCATAAAAGCCGAAATTTCCAAAGTACTCTTGTTCAGCATTCCATCGAAAACTCACATAATTTCACCTTTGAACCCAATATTTTATATAGAGAGGATTGTACTTTTAAAAGACTTTTTTCTGAAAGCAGTTTAATCTTTTTGAATTCGTCAAAAGTGTTAATAAAAGATCAGATCACAATATCATTCATGACTCATATTTAAATTTTTTAAACCTGATTAAAAATAATTAATCCTAATAGTTTTTGAATATGTGTATATATATACATGTATATATGTTATAATATATGTACATCCATATATATGCTTATATGTATGTTTTTTGGTATACACTATACACATACACTTGCATATGTGTTCATGTGTATAATTGTGGATACATTAATATATAGATATGTGCATATGTATGTATGAGTATGTAGGTGTGCATATACATGTTCATGTATGTATGTATATATATATATATATATATATATATATATATATATATACATAATATTTCTCAACATTTACTAAAGCAATATTTTTCCTTTTTTCGTAAATTACCAAACAAGAGCCATAAAAAATCATTTTTGCCAAGAGTTCCGTGCTTTGTCCTTTACATCTGGCAGACAGAAATCCATATCAGTGTGTTTAAGTCTTGTGTAGTCGTAACATCTACAAATATCTTCCAAAAAATCGAGTGTTTTTAACAAAAAATATTAGTGATATGGATATATAAATTATTACAGGTAAATAATTTTCGCTTCTCAATTTTATATAAAACCTTTTTTAGTTAAGTCTTATTACTATCTATCCGGTACATAATCCATTCCTTTATAACAAAATTTTTTTCTAATTAATCTGTATTGACCATTGTTAATTAATGTTAATCAGTATTTTAAAAAACATTGTATTTGACAGAATAAACCTGATGATGGAACGTACCTAGTTCCGAAACGTCGTATTAAACATCTTCAAAAAACAAATTGTTTTTTATTATTGGATTTACTGTTCGGAAAAGAAACAATCAATATATTGAAAAAATCCAGGACTTATCTATTGAATATATATATATATATATATATATATATATACCAGCAAACCCGACGAACTCCGTTTCGCCACCAGATGGTTTCGTGAGAAAGATGAAGAAATTTTTTGTTTGTTTTATATTTGAAAAGGAAAAAATTGATTTTATTATTCAACAGTAATGAATTTATTTCGATTACAAAAATGAAGTGTTTTTTAGTTGAACTTCTCTAAGTAAATGAAAGTGAATCCGCAAATTATCCGTTTCATTGAAGTGCTCTTTGGTAAACCACATTTTTTGTTTTTTGGTCTGACGTTAACACAAACAAAGCATATGGTTTTCCAACTCGTAAACAGGCAACGTGTAACTGTCCATGTGAAAAACAATGATTTTCTAAATAATTTATTTGAAATTTATCCCGCAAACACTAAGCGATTGGCCTTGCGACTTGTTGTTGCGAACGCAAGACGAACTGGAAAATGCAATCGTTTGAAGTCAAACGGAAGACCAGTCAGAATCATTGGTATGTCACCGAATCGCCAGCAATTTTTGATTGAATGGTGAAATTCAGTGCGTGTACATCATTATTCTTTGCGGCAAGAATTGCTCGTTGACTTAACCAAGCATAATTCTGATAATTCTCACTAATGTCATTACTCGAATTTTTAATTACGGTGCGTGAAGTTCCAGCAATTTGCATTAGGGCACGATGCCATGCACAACTAATTTTCTTAGCTATAAACTTTGCGGAGCCCGAGACCTTTCCAACGAATACAAATTTGTCGAAATCGTCAGGAAGGAAAACCCGACTTATTTTTATATACATATATGTAGATATAGGTTTGCATCTAATTATATTAATTCTATTTCCTTTCCCCCAGGGCTGGGGCGTCGCGTGGCGGCTCCGCACTCGCTGCCGTCCGCCCTGGAGGTCGAGGCGGCCTGGAAGCAGCAGCAGCAGCCGCCCGGCGGAGGACTCCCACCCGGAGCAGGTCTGCCGCCGTCCGTAGGACTGCCGCCGTCGGTTCAGCCTCCGGGCGGCGGTCCGCCGTCCCAAGTCAACAGCAACAACCAGTCCGTCAATGACCAACAACCGCCTTATGGAGGACCGCCGTTTCAGGTCGGTTCTCCTGCTCCGGGAGGCGGCGGCGGCTACGGAGGCGGAGGACCGGGCGGCGGTCCCGGAGGTGGCGGTGGGACGCCGCAGTACACCGCCAGTCCGGCTCCTAGTGGGTCGAGTACACCTGGACCGCCGAGCGGGGGATACGGAGGCGGCGGACCGGGGGGAGGTGGACCTGGGGGGCCTTATAACGGGCCCGGC